ACCATTTGACTTGGTAGTTCTTAGTAGAAATATGGAATCTATCCTAATATTATTTACTTAGTTTGTACTCATTCAAATTTGTCTATCATTTATTTTAAAAAATCTATTTGATTCACATGTTCTTAAAATTAGTACTTGTGTTTGCTTGATGTTGTGCTCAACAAATTAAAGAGAAAGCTCAGTTTAATTTAGGTCTCTGGCTTCCTTAAGGTCAACTCTCTATCTTAGAGAAAGAATGCGATATTTCGATCATTTATTCAAATTGGAAACCTTAAGAAAAATCAAAGTCCTTGGGTTTTCTGTAAATGGATGTCACATTTTTTTCTAATTCAATAAAAAAAGTTCAGTTGTCAGCATAAAAGTTAAACCACAGAGTGTGGATATTTAAGACAGCATTGGATTGAGCATTTTGAGAAATTAATTTGCCCAAATTATGTTGTGCTTTCACACGCTGTATGGCAATATTAGTATCACGGAGTGTGCATTAAACAGTTCCCGTCAATTATGTTTGCCTATGAATGAATCGGAGGGTTCCTTTTGTTATAAATTACTATTTCCTAAAATGTTTTTGCAGAGAAGCAATGAAACGCTTTTAGACTTGGAATGTTTAAAAAGCTGCTCTTGCCAGTGGCTGATTTTGAGCCAGCTCCAATGCTCATAAGAACTGAGGAAGCAAAGAGGGGCTGGTCCAAACATGATTCTACCTTTCTCCTCCCTCTGGAACATCTCCTTCAGCCCCCGGTGCTGCTTCGACCACAGTGCATTCATTTGACACGGCATGATAACATATGCCTGGCCACGGGTCTTTTGAGAATCATTTGAAGTATTACATAAGGGGTTTCCTGGGCAACCATAGTGCCATAGTCTGGGTTTTGAGCATGGAATACAAACAAAAGTGGTTGACACTTTTACAGTAGTGGGAGAGTCTGTGTTTCTCAGGTAAAGTCACATGAAAAGAAAGGTCTGCCCCCACCCAATTTGGATAGTTATATCTTAAAACAACAAAAGAAAGGGCAACATTGCATACACCTCAAGCATAAAAGTAGGAGGGAGCTGTGGAATATTTCCAGGTGCACTGTATGACTTTGACCACTGTGTCCATCTTTTCCATGGCTTCAACGTTTTCCGTCTCAATGACCTGTGGCCAACTATAGTATAAAATTTTAAATGAAGCATTGCATAAACAAACAATTCCCACGTTTTACATCATTTGTTGTTCAGAGTGGCATGGTAAAACCCTTACACCTTGTCCTGTCTGGGATGTGAATCACCTTTTGTTCAGCTCAGCCACACAGTATAGCTGCTTTCCACTGGCAACTAAGTAGTCTTCGTGACCATCAGACACAATTAGTATCAGGTTGCTTGCATTCAAATCTTCCAATTTAGTTAACAGTGGGCCCAAGATACAACAATAGTGATGCTAGCAGTTTGGATATGCCAAAGAAAAACCATAAAGTGTTTCCTATAAGGAAACAGATGAGTTACTAAGAAAAGATGAAAACCCAAGTTTCATGCTGAGATTGCTGAGGCCTGTGGTAACAATGCATCCTTTATCCTGATATTTTGAAGAAGGGAAAAGAAATGCTTGCTCGTTCAGTTGTCTGCAAAAGCCATGATCATGGTGTGTCGCAAATGCTTCATTGAGATAGAAAAGGAATTAATTTTGTGGGCAGAAAATGTGCACAGAAAACCCACGCCTGCTTTAGAAACTAAACTGCCCTGAGTGGGTATGTATAGGAGAAAACCATTGTGCGTTTCTATAAACAGGCTCAGTTCTACCTGTGATTTCACATATCCCCTAAAGGCCTTGGACAGATTCCCATGGATAAGACGCGACATCATTGTGGTTATTTATCAAGCGGAGTGCTGTCATTCATTTGGCAAGAGTTCTTGGTTTGGCTAGCTCCCTGGCACTGGTCCTCTGTGGCGCTGGGAAGAAAGGGTCTTTGGAGAAGACCTGTGAGAGTGGAGGTATTTGGCTGTAATTCCACTGATGGTCGTGATGGTTCAGCAAGGCAGAATTTGGCAGGCTATTGCGTCGACAACCTTTTCCCGCATCTCCCTTCATTTCTTCCTTCTGTCCTTATTATCCCACCTGGCTTTTGTTTTCCTACTAGCAACTGGAATGGGATAACTAGAATTGTTCCTGAATCCCATAAAAATCTGACCACAAAGTGTACTCCTTGCTGTTGGAGCTGCCTTGTTGCAAAACTAATTCCTTTGCAGATTGCTACCGCCAAGCAGCTGTGATCTCCTCCATCAGCCTGCTTCTCAAGTCTCAACAGTTAGCTTTGCATCGTCGACTATACAGCAGCTCCTGGGACGGACGGCTGTTGGTTTTGATCTTGACTTTGTCATGGGCTTTTCTGAACTGAGAGGGGGCCCTCTTGATGGAAAAGAGCTCCCGGGGAGGAAAGCAGAGGCAGGTCATCGCTCAGCGCCTGCTGCAGCCGTATTTGCCACTGAGAGTTGATTTAGGAAAAAAGAGATGGATGGGGCAGTGACCAGGGCTGCACAGAGACTGGGGTGGGTTAATCAGCTCAGGTTGATCTAATGTGACGGCGACATAGGTGGACACTGCTGGACAGTCAGGGGTGGAGAATGTCATAAGCCATGAGGAGCTGGCTCTCCCTGCCTTTGAGTCTGTCGGATGCTCTGTTTCTCTGATGGCTCTTCATCCGCCTCCTTTCATTGCTTTGTGTTTAAGCATGCTCCTGTGAATGTGTGTGCATGTGTATACATGAGTGTGGAGACCAGGTGTCATTGTTAGGTGTCACTCAACCACTGCCTGCCTTATTTTTTGAGACAGGGTCTTCCATTGAGCCCAGAGCTCCCCAGGTTGACTAGACTGACTGGCTCTCAAGCCCCAGGAACACTTCTGTCTCTACTGGTCCAGCGTGGGGATTATGGGTGTGCTCCCATCACACCAAGTTGTTTTATGTCAGGGCTGAGGATTGAACTCAGGTCCTCACGCTTGGACAGCAAGCACTTTCCTGGCTGAACCAAGTCCTTTGCCCTGTATTTCTGTTGTGCTGCTGTATTTATGGACCTCCAAAGGCCCCTGATTTTAGTTTTCACCTCGAGATTCTTGATCATTTAGTAAGGAACTTTTGAAAATGGGAAGGACTGCCAAGAGACGTTGTTTATGTTCACAGACAGCCTGACAAGAGCCGTTCTTTTCTGCTTGCTTCTGACAGTGAGCATAAATCTGCCAGCAGATGGCTCTGTAGCCCGCTCCACAGGAATGTCAGCACACTGAAAGCCTGGACTGAAGCCACGTGACCTTGCAGTGCAGAGCTGGGCTTCCGCTGAACGCCAAGTGTGTGCGTTTGTGTCCATGCACACACACATAAGGGAGCACGTGCACTTTTATCTCACAGACTGACCCCATGGTTATCTAGTTTCCTCCAGAGTCCCCTCTGAATGCTGAGGAGTGGCAGCATCTCCTCATTCACTATTTGCAGCTGTTGGCATAGAGAAGTCTGGTAATGTGACCCTTTTTCTGAGGTGACTCTTGGGTGCTCTTATGATAGCAGGGATGTCACTTGTCCCAGGGCTACCTATTTTACTTAAAATATTATGAGGCATTTTGGTGTTTTTTAAAAAAATTAATTGCGCATTTCTCTGAGTGTGAACCTTGTGAACAGTGTGCTGTGGTGTCCAAAGGTTGAATGCGCCTAAAGCCATTTGGGTGGAGGTGAGTGTAGATTAGAAATACGTTTAGGCCTTGCAAGCATGAGGACCTGAGTTCGATTCACAGAGCCCACAGTAAAAAGCCAGATGTAGAGGGGCATATTTGTAGTCTCAGTGCTGTAGTCAGGTCTGGTACTCACTGGCAAGCCAGGCTAGCCTGCATGGAAAGTTTCAGGCTGTGAGAGACCCTGTCTCAAAACACAAAGTGGATCTCACCTGAGAAGTGCAGCAGAGGTTGTCTACAGGCTTCTACACACACACACACCTGCACACATGAAAACATAAACACACACACACCTGCACACATGAGCATGTGCATGTGTGCATGCACAAATACATACACACTAAGAGATGTATGGGAAAGAGAGAAGATATTGAATGTGGTGTATGTTACACTTCTAAGCAGAAGAACATGCTGAAAACAGCCCGTAACTGAATCTCCAAGATAGCTCAAGAGAAATTAAAAATATATAATTTAATAATACATTTAGAAAAATTAAATTGCTTGGCTAGCCTGGGCATCTAGCCCATCAGGATGGCTTGCTGCTGTCTTTCCCTATGTAGTTTGATATGACTCATCAAACCTCCTCATACAAAACAAACAAAAACAAAAACCCAAAATCAAAACAACCAAACCAAAACAAAACAAAAAACCTCCTCATGTCATTCTCCTCAGTATCTTGCTGCCTCAGAAGAGAGATAAGGAAGTTACTACATCCTTCGTGACCTTAAACATCGAAGGTGCTTGCCAACAGGGGCTGTTGCTCATCTGTGCCTTCGGTTCAGTTGAGTTGTCTAGCAGTGGGTTTTTTTGTTTTGTTTTGTTTTGTTTTGTTTTAACAGATTTAGGAAGCTTTCCAAGAAGCAGACTGGCATCCAAGATTAAGAACCAGATAGTGGATAAGCTAGCATCTGAAACAAGCAAAATACAATACAAAACAAAACACAAAAGAACACGTAAGAGAACACTTAAGAGAGAACAAGAGCAAAATCCAACCCAGAGTGATGCACACGGTGCTCTCGCTCACCCCAGCAGGGTAGAGGTTGGGTTACTGGTGCTCCAATCACAAAACACATTCTGGTCTTATTTCAAAGCAAACATAGCCTTAGAGAGTTTTCTGTAGATTCTCTTCTCCTCTGAATTCACAGGTATAAAAAACAAACAACAACAAAAAACAAAAACAAAAAACAGAAAGTCACCACATCTTGCTTGACAAACAGGCACTTTTGATGGTTTTATGATAACGAGTTGTGAGCCCTTCCTATCAGTCTGGTGGTTAAGTCTGACTCTGGTTGCTTCCTCACAGCTCTCAGAGGGTGGCAATGAGAGGATGGAGCTCCCCCAGAGCAGGCAAAACAACTCCTCTGAGGCACCCGGGACAAAGTCTTATTCCCTGACGATCCAAAACACCACCATTTGCAGCTCTGGTACCTACAGGTGTGCCCTGCAGGAGCTTGGAGGGCAGCGCAACTTCAGTGGCACTGTGATTTTGAAAGTGACAGGTGAGCTCACCTTGCTTCCTCTTACAGACTGGGGCGTGCTTTCTGTGGGCCCCGAAGAAGTCTCTCCTCTTCCAGAATCTGACCCTGCAGTTTAGGAAAACATCTGTGGCTGGAAGTGAATTCCTCTGAAGAACATGAGTGTTTTTTTTCTATGTGGCTTAACCTATGCATTGACTTTTGCCCGACATTTGCGGGGACTAAGGCCAGAAATGACAAACACATTGCCTGTAAGGCCTTGGGTTTGCACAACAGTTACACTCTCGTGTCACGTGTGTGAAAGCTATTAGGACTAAGATAATACTCTCCAGATCACAAGACCATGACTGCTTTTGAAAGGGCCAGCCAGTGTCTTCACTTTGCTGCCTGCTGCCTCTGTGTGCTCATTCGCATACACAACCTCACACTCTTTTCAATAGCCAGCCTTCTGCCCTGGTTTGCTTGTCTTTGTGATACATTGTACACTTGCCATGCAATGCGTGGATTAACTAAATATACATCTTTCCCAGGGACAAGCAATTCTCTGTTCTGTAACTTTTTTCCTCAGCACACAGTAGGCCCTCAACAAATATCCAAATGGGTAAGGAATGGGAATAGCCTAACAGGGGAGAGTTAGGAGGGACAGGAAGGAACTGAAGAGCATAGCTGGTTGCCTTCCATCCTCTCTTCCAACACAGTATTACCTCCGAGTTAAGGGTCAGACTGGAATGAATTGTTTAGATCTGGCTCAAACGTTAATAGTGACACGAGTGTGTAGCTTGTTTTGTCACTGTTCTAATCTAAGCCTCATCTCTCAAATGGGGCCAGTGACATCTGCATGCTGAGTTTGTTGTTAAATTTAATGAAATATGACACTAGGATGCTATGTATGGTGCCTGAGGTAGATAGAATACTCAGTCATAATTGTTAGGGATCCCTAAGATAATGTCTCCCAACCTTTTCCATTGAATTATAGACCCTCATGAGAATCTATTCCTAGACAACTGCATTGCAATTTTCAATCTAATCTCAATTCTGTAAGACTCAAGGGAACAATTTCTTGGAATCATCTGCCTGCTGCCTGCCCCTGCCCAGGCAGTGAGCCAAGCCCATTGGCAACCTCACTGTAGCACAAGCCAAATATCAGCCAGTGTCTGAATGGGACACAGCCCTTCTCCCAGACTGTTCCTGGCTGGGTCTTGCCTGCTGCTCTACTCTAGTGCCATAGCCACAGCCTCAGGGAGATGGTCCTCCACCCTATGCTGCTGGCCTTTCTAAGAACGCAGTTGAGTGTCTGGGAATGGTAGAATGCTCAGCTAGTATGCAGGCAACCCTAGGTTCAGTTTGTAGAACCTATAAAGACTAGGGGTGGTAGCACATGCCTATAATCTGAGCACTTAGAAGGTGGAGGCAGGAGGATCAAGGAGTTCTGAGTCATCTCTGTTACATGATGAGTTCAAGGCCAACTTAGACCTCATGATACCCCATCTCAAGAAGACAGACAAAACAAAGCTTTTGAAAAAGAACAGGCAGATCCCCAGCCTCATTTTCTAGTCTGAGTCCCTTAAATTGAGGTTCCTTACCTAAGACTTCACCTAGTCACAAAAAGTTATGGTAGTTTATGGTCCTGGAAGCTCAACAAACATACTACCCATTCTGTGGCAAACAGCCAGAGCGATATGACAGCAGTCACTTAAGACTGTTGTCACTGCCACCATGACTGGTCTTTCCTGAGGGTGGGGATGGGGATACTAGGACCAGAGGAAGCAGGAATGGGGCAGGGTAGAACAGGCCTTCAGTGTCTTCATAGATTCCCTTTCTTTCTTAAGGATGCCCTAAGGAAGCTGCCGAGTCACCTTTCAGGAAGTACAGGGCTGAAGCCGTGCTGCTCTTCTCTCTGGTCATTTTCTACCTGACACTCATCATTTTCACTTGCGTAAGTATCTGTTCAAAACATCTGTTGCTGTGACATGGTCCCCAGGGCCCCACTGACTCCTGTAGGTTTTGTAGACAGCATGGATCATTGAAAGCTTACCCTCTGAAGGCTGGAAGTTTGAGGCCTCCACACTGGGAAGTGCACTGGGATTCCTCCAGCTTGCTTTTGGTTTAGTGAGTCACTTGGAGCATTGTGTAAAGCCTGTGAGGTGATGCAGGTAACACGGGTGGGGTTGTGTAGGAAAGTCTGAAGAATCCATGAAGACCTGAAGGACTTGTGGTCACGATGTGGCCACCCATCCACCACCTCAGGGCAGAGGCCTTACTCTTGCAATGTCGTGGCATCCCTGTTGATCACACTGCCCTGAGCCCGTTTTCTCTTAGTGGATCCACTCACAGGTTTGCACTTCCCATCCTTTTTAAGATTTAATCCTAAGAAGTCAGAATGCTAGGGCACCCAAAAGGTCCTCTGCAGGGACGGTTGACTGAAAGTACTTGGGCCTTCTCGACATGCCCTTTAGCATATCGGTTATAGCCTCCGGATGGAAGCCCTTAAGCCCGTTTTTTTTTGCCTGGCTATTCACCTGGACTGACCATGGGCCTCTGGGAACAGGGCCATTTAAGATTCTGACAAACTGGGAAGCAGTCATCCCCATAAGTCTCCAGGTTACAGAAGGGCTGGCTACATGGGAACCAGAATAGACTCATCCTGGAGCCATCCCAAGGCTGGTTCTTGTCACCTACTATGTCCTTGTATTCAGTTGTTCCTCCCTCTTACCATGTAAATCATGTTTCTGATTTCTGTCTTAAAAAGCAATCAACAACCACCACATCCCACTCCATAACTTTATAAAATTATTTATATTATATAAAATTCAAGTCACCAGTTTATTTTTTAAAAAACAGAACAAAATGAAATACTAGTGTTTCATAGTCGGGCAAAGGTGAAAAAAGTGTATTTTTGCAATACTCATGACTTTGAAATTAATTGTTGAGTAACATACTAAGATCTTTCTGAATGTTATCAATTTCTTAAAGAATGATTACATCAATTAATCTGAAAAAGTTTCTTAAGGCAAGTGTATTTTTGGTGCTACTATTCATTAAATTTAGAGTCTTTCATAAATCTGCTTCAAATAAAATAGGGACTTCATTTGAAATAATTTTTAAATAAAAAGCAAATATATACAAATAAAGCAAAAGACTTCCATGAGACTCTCCTGCATACAGAGCATTCTGCCAACCACTACATGGGATAGAAGTGGGTGCTATGTCTCTGGCCTCCTAGAGCTGGCAATTTGGTCAGTAGGGTTGTTTGTTCATAAGAAGGTAAGTATGGTGGTCAGTACATTTAAGATGATTGCCTTTGGTTTCTTGTTGGCAGCTGTCCACTTCCATAGGTACTGGCTTTCCATATTGTGTTGAAAGTAGGGGCTAGAGGGCATGGCAGTTGGGAGTCAGTGAGTCTCCTGATGAGATTTGGAAACATCAGGGAAGTGGTACTTACAGTTTGTAAAGAATGAGGGTGGTGCTTCCAAAATGAGGTGTTCAGACACCTCTTGGGGCATAGTGTGACAGTCACCAAGTTTTCTCATTAACTGGTTCCTCAAATCTTTTCATTTTGCCTTTTACAGAAGTTTGCACGACTACAGAGTATTTTTCCAGATATTTCTAAACCTGGTACGGAACAAGCTTTTCTTCCAGTCACCTCCCCAAGCAAGCATTCGGGGCTAGTGACCCTTCCCAAGACAGAAACAGTATGAGTAGGGTCTCTTCTGGGTTTTACAAAGCCAAGGGCACATCAAATCAGTGTACCTGAATGCTGCCTGGACAAGAGAAGAATGAGCCCCACCCTCTGACGGCAACCTTCCTTTGAAGTCCTTCACCTGCCAGTGGGTTCCACACTACTCCCTGCCATGGGGTCTTGAGCACCATCACATGATCATGAAGCATGGGGCCATCACTGCTTCTCTATGGCTGTCAGCTCAGCGTTTCATATGGCTATCTGGTCAACCTCTTGAATGCTTTTCAGTCATGTAAAAGCTATGGTGAGATGCAGGTGGAGCAGGGTCATGGGAAATTTGAACACTCCGAGCTGGCCCTGTGACAGACTCCCGAGGACAGCTGTCCTCTTCTACATCTGGGATACATCTCTTTGAATTTGTCCTGTTTTGTTGCACCACCAGTCCAGATGTCTCACATCTGGCAGAAATTGACAGGCCAAGCTGTGAGCCAGTGGGAAATATTTAGCAAATAATTTCCCAGTGTGAAGGTCCTGCTATCAGTAAGGAGTATTGTGTGTACCTAGAAATGAGAGGTCAATGACCTGTTCCTCAGCAGGACCTTTTCATCTGGAAAAGACATCCATAAACCGGCAATACAGAGGGATGCCACATTTATTTTTTTAATCTACAAGTACTTGTCAAAGAAGAATTTTATGTTTTTCAAAGAAGAATGTTTGTTTTCTTTTTTAAAAAATGGTTGTCTAGTTAGAGAGCATTGCTAGCTGACGAGCAGCCTGAGTGAATATGGAGTGTCCCTCAGAATAGGGACAAGCTAGAAGCACTGTACAATGTCCTGCTGGGAAGGGCAGACCACAGACTGTGTTACTTGAAGTCTGGCCACAGTTGTCCAAGCCTGTCTGTAGGATCCTGAATGAGTCCCTTGTGGTTTTCACTTTCTGGATTGTAAACCAGAAGGTTTTGTCTGGGTTGACTAAAAAGGATGTGAAAACGCTTTGGGAAAGCTGAAGGTACTGTACACAGTGGCCACCCCACTGGGTTGTTTATTTTGTTGATATCCTAGCATTCTGGAGCTGAGGGAATGCCTATCATGTCTCACCCTTCCAATCTACCAAACAAAGAAGGATATGAAGAGACGTCACTACAAAGAGGACGGTACCATGTCTGCTGTGAGAACTCTTCCTGAGACATGTGGAGACTGGACCTTGTGTCTTGTTCTTGAAGATACTGAGCCACAGCAGGAGGGAGTTCTCAGATGTTGCATTTCTCTAATGAACTTGGCCCCTTCCTCATTTGCTTCCCAAAGATATCTTGTCCCTTTAATGGTGTATACATCATCCGCACTGACATGAGAGTGAAAGCAGTGTTGAGCTGACCCAGTGTTTACCTCTTACCTCTTTCATGCTATTAAAGGTGTGCATGTGAAGAGCAGTGTTCGTCTCTTCTTTATTTTTATTTTTTGTTTGTTTGGTTTTTTTGGAGACAGGGTTTCTTTGTATTGTTTTGGAAGCTGTCCTGGAACTCGCTCTGTAGACCAGGCTGGTCTCGAACTCACAGAGATCCACTTGCCTCTGCCTCCCGAGTGCTGGGATTAAAGGTGTGCGCTACCAATGCCTGGCATGTGTTCATCTCTTCTATCTTTAAAATGATTCAGATTTTGAGATGGATGCTTGAATGCTGATTCGGGAATAAGAATGCAGAAATGGTCCTGGTAAAGGACTGGATGCTTTCCTGTGTCTGGGTGGAGGGCAGGGACATATGGCTGTCAGACCTCTGTGACATGGCATTCCTTCTTCTAAGTCTACCAGATCCATCCTGGAGCTGCATCCCTACCAGCTAGTACATGGTCAGCTTGGCCACCTATGTTACCAAGTGGGAGAATCCAAAGAGAGGCTCTACTTCTAAATGTGTGAAGTCAGAAGCACTGATCTTGGGATTCTTGAGATTTTATTCAAGGTTTTCAAATAGACACCTAAGCCCTAAGCTGCCAGGAAAGATCTATACAAAGTGCTTGTGGTGGCTGTAAAAGCATCGTGGATGAGAGGCTTTGTGAAGATGAACACATGTGAAGTGTCTGTCAAAGCTGAAGAATCTCTTTGAATGGATTCAAGCCCATTGTCCAGTGCTTTACAAACGTGCTGACAACTTAGTATCACGTCGAGGAACTCAGACCTCTTATCTGACGTTGTGTCACCTCAGCCAGGATTCAGAGTAAGAATAGTGATTTGCTTGCTAGATATGCTTGGAAGATTAGGTGAGGGAGTCCACGGAAGGGCTAGGTGTCTAGTGGTGTTCAGACAGGAGGGCAGGAAAGGAGGAAAGGGGAGCAGAAGAAATGGCAGTGCCCACACATTTTCGACCAGCTTGTTTTATTAAGAGGAATAAAATGACTTGTTGGGTGCTGCATGTTGCCTTCTGAGGATTAATACGCATTGAAATAAACACTCCGTGGGCATGAGAACTATTGTGTGAGACCAGGGAGGAGGGTTCCCCTGTTGCTTTAGATAATCTTAACTAGAAATATGATTAAAGTTTGACGGCAGGTTGACCTCATGTTTCACACCTAATCTTTAGTGTTGAAAAATGTGTGTGTGTGTGTGTGTGTGTGTGTGTAAGAGAGACAGACACACACAGAGAGAGACAGTCACAGAGAGACAGAGACAGAGAGAGACATGCACACGGAGATAAAGACAGAGGGAGGGGAGGGGGAGAGGGAAGAGAGTGAAGGGGCAATAATGTAGAAAGGGAGAGAGGGAGAGAAAAAGAGAGAGGGATGAAAAATGAGAGAAGAAAGAGGAGAGGAAGAAGGGAAAGGGAGAGAGGGGGCAGAAGAGAGAGAAGATGGAAATGGCAAAAAGGAAGGGAACAAGAAAGAGGAGGGGGAGAGGGGAAGGGGGCCAGGAGAAGCAGAGAGACAGGGAGGGAGGGAGAAGAGGAGGGGGAGAAAGGGAGAGGGGGAGGGGAGGGGAGAGACGGAGACATAGAGAGAGACAGAGAGAGAAGAGAATGGAGAACTTACTGGCTTTTTGCGCCCTAGTTGAATCCTACCCACTATTTCAAAGGACCCTGGACTGCATTTACTTTGTCATCACCATTGGGGAGAGCCTTGCTCTCACACTTTTCCTTGTCGTGGAATTAGATCTACAGTTGTACAGTTGATTTTGCCTTGGGGTGTCCCAGGACATGAATACAAACATATCAGCTGCATGCTATAAATATAGTCTGTCAGGGTTGTGGCCTCTCAGACACAGGCAGCAGAGTGAGGCCATATTTATCCCAGATCACAGTCCATAGTCACAGAACCCTGAGCTGTCCTTTCATTGGTAGCTTTGTTTGGTGGCATTGATTGGGCAATAATAATACTGTGTATTTCCTTTGTAAAAGTGGCACACAAGGAGGAGTTGGAGAAGTTACTCGGTGGTTGAGAGCGCTTGTTCTTTCAGAGGACCCAAGTTCTGCTCCCAGACTCCACCCTAGTTCCAGGGAATCAGCCTTCTGTCCTCCATGGGCACTGCATGCATGTGGTGTGCACATGTACATGCAGACAATCCCGTGCAAATAAAATACATCTTCAAAAAAATAACACAGAGTGCCAGAACAGGAGCTGTGCACCTCATTTCCTCACTTTCCCTGGTAGTGTTGTATTTGCAGAGTCAGTCTAGATTCTGATTGGTTGGTGAGATGCAGCTGTCAGTCCTGTGTCCAGAGTCTGTCACTGATGTCTATTGTCCCCTTTCTGGATTTGCTTGGTTTTGAATTTTCATGTTTGAACTATATAAGAAATTAAAAGTCTCGTTTTGCCTTTCTGTACTGGTGTGTGTGTGTGTGTGTGTGTGTTTGAGTGTGTGTATGTGTGTCTCTGTGTGTGTGTGAGCATGTGCATGCGTGTGTCCGTATGTGTAATGACAGTAAAGTTAAACATAAGTATATATATATATTTTTTTGGTTTTTCGAGACAGGGTTTCTCTGTATTGTTTTGGAGGCTGTCAGTCCAGCCTGGCCTCAAACTCACAGAGATCCACCTGCCTCTGCCTCCCGAGTGCTGGGATTAATGGTGTGCGCCCCCACCGCCCGGCAACATAAGTATATTAACTGAGTGTTAGCCCTAGACAGGCACTTTGAAAGACTTAAAAAAAAGCCAAACTCAATCCTTTCTTTGAAAGAGCATCCATTCTGGCGGAAGGAGACGTGATCCAGGTGCAGTACACTTAGTTACTTGGTGAACTTAGCATTGTGGAGAAATATGAACAGTAACAGGGAATAGTGGAACTGTCTGATTTCTTCTGGGAAAGACCCGGGAAGGTGTACTAGTTACTTTTCTTACTGCTGTTACCCAGCAGAAGCAACTTAGAGAAGAAGGATTCATTTAGGCTCTCAATAAGAGGAGACACAGACCATCATGGGGTGGTTGGAAAGGGAGCAATGGGGCAGGGGCTGCTTGCTCAATCTGTGTGGATGTGGAAACAGAGAATGCTGGCTTTCCTTCTCCTTTTCTGTCAGAGAAGAAGCTCAGCCCATGGGATGGCGCAGCCTTCCTTCAGGGAGGGTCTTCCTTCTCCACAGTTAGACTTCCCTAGTAAAGCCACAGAGGGAAAGAAGAACATATTCACAGTGATGATGGACCATCCCAGAAGGCCATGCAGACCAACTCCATTTAAACTTGGACTTCAAAGCTAAGCATGATTTCAGATAATAGTGGGAAAGGACAGGGGGAAGAGAATGGAACCTGTCTTTAAGAAAGTAAGCTTGGACTGAGGGTGGCTTGAGAATTATGGAGGCAAAGGGCCCCTCCATTCCAGATGGAGTGTGGAGAAAGCAGAGGTGACTGACAAACATATAGTCTCAGATGGTTAGAGCTATGGCACAACACTGATGGATCCAGAGCTGTGGGGCCACGTCGTCAGATCGTTTGGGGACAATAGTTAGGAAAACAAGGTGAAGGAGCAAACAGTGGAGCTGGAGACAGATGGCATCAAAGCCACCTGGCAGGCTGGAAGCCCAGAGCAGCAGAGCCACAGTAGAAGAAACAGCAAAGATGGAGACCCGTTCTTTAAATTATGTATTCATTGTGTATATATGTTTGCGTGCACATGCCTTGGCATGCATGTGGAGAATGGAGGTCAGAGATCAGTTGCAGGAGTTGGTTCTTGCCTTCTACCAAATGAATCCTGGGGTTTGAACCCATGTTATAAGGCTTGGTGACAAGTTCCTTTATCCACTGAGCCATCTCACGGGCCTGGGTTTTGAGTGTTAGTATAAGAACTAGGTGTTGCAACTCTGTGTGTGTGTGTGTGTGTGGTGTCTGTCTGTCTCTCTGTGTTTTTAAATTAAAGTCTCCTTTCCCTTTAAAAACATGGCAGACTGGGAAAGTAGTCAGTCCCTCCCATCTTACCTGTGCACAGCTGAATCATCTGCGGGCACAGAACATCTTTCCCAGCCGTACTTAGAGCTAATAAATCAGCCATTGATGACAGGCTTCAAGCTGGCCCTAGTCCTCTTCATTCCCACTTCGATTTATTTTTCTGTCCTAAAAGAATATACCTATTGTCTATTCTCCTTATATAGCATAGTATTTATTATGCTTGACCAGCCATCATATAGAACACAGTGTGTATCATCTGAGTTCTTTTGGTTCTTTTTGTTTGGTTTGTTGCTTGTGTTTTTTGTTTGTTTGTTTGTTTTGTTTTGGTGTGTTTTCAACTGTGTAGCTGATACCAAATTCCTTCCTTGGTTCTCTGCCTTTTCACTTCTGCTCAACTGATTGTGCGTTATGCAAATACTCCTTAATTTTTAAAAGAAGCTAAATTAGAGTAAGCACACCAGCAAAGTATGATGATAAACCCAGTGGCATCTTCTGGGCTGTGTGACGGGTCGTGCCCGGGTACGAGTATGAACGTGTGGTAGAGAAAGGAAAACAGTGCTGCATGGCATAACCTCAGACCGTGGTGACTCACACAAGCCCTCTGTCCTTCAGATCCAAGGCATGTCACTTGAACACCTCTCCACTCCTTCATCCTCCCCATGAGATTGCAGGCAGAACTCAGTTAGATTCCAGGGGACTGGCTACCAGGAAAACATCACCTAGGCTGGGTGTATCTGTATCCATGGTTCCTGAGAAGTTAGGGTAAAGGAAGGGGATGGAACTCGGGTACTAAAGCAAGTCTCCCACTCTCTTCTCCTTTCAATGGGTAAACACGTATAGCATCCCTCTGGGCAGAGGAACCGGACCTCGCTTAGTGGCTCGCTTAGATTCCACATGAGAAAGCCATATTGTTTTTGTTTCATTGTAAGAGTGACTACTTCTTCAAATTGACCATTTTCCCCCTTAAGCTTTGCCAAAGTGGCCTGCTTACAATCTACTCTTGTAGATTATAGTGTTTACCAGAGGCAAGTAGGAAGAAATTCACACACTCAAGAGCTTTGAGA